AAATAGGACATTATTCTAAAGTTTGTAAATCTAAATCAGGTAGGAATTTTATCACACCAATGCTGATGCCCATGGAATTTTATTATCTCCAGCTATGTATGTATTCTAATTAAATCAGTCTTTTACTTCCAGCTCTCTAGAGGTGTACTAGTTTGGGTTGATGTGTTTTATATATATTGAGAAGTTCTCTGATATTTCTATTCTTCAGATCTTTTCAATATTCCATTTTATTACATTAAAAGAATATATAACAATAAGAATTGATAAGGTCTTAATAGCTTCAAATTTATTTTGTGCATATAGCTTAGTTTTGTTTATCATCTAAAACTTTCCTTTCTGATATTTTCAATTGCTGTATAGTGGATTCTGTATCGTTTATTGATTCAGATATACCTGTACACCTTTTTTTTTCTGATCTAGTTCATAAACCATTGTCACATTATTAATTTTTATAACCGTTGATTGTACTGATTTCCAATTTCAATTCAATATCACCATAGAATTTGGACCTAAACAAATCCCGTGGTGATATCGTCAATGGATTGCTTTACTGTTATTAACACGCCTTCTAGTTCGGTGTTATTTTGGGGAAACAGTTTTAAATCATCCATGTAGAACAAGTGATTAATAAATTAATCAAATATAGGATATGGGTGTTATCGGTTTGCTTGAGAGAAGTTTTCATTCAATACAGGATAATATGGATGAAAGAATATCCATCTCTAAGTTATCACATCTAATTTTAACATTAAGGTTAATTTATTTATTCATACTGCCTTTTAGAAAATTAATAAGAGGTGGTTCATTAATTCTAGTGACGTTATCATTCGTGTGGGACATTATTAAAAGCTTTTGTTATAATCTATCCATGCATACTTAACTCTTATTTTTTTAACAGCATTTTACAGTAGTATTTTATTGATCAGTAATGATCTTCGCAAACATAAGAAGTATTTTTGCATCGTTTTTGCTCTTCAGGGAGAATATTATTAGATTCAAAGGATTGATATTGAAAAAAATTCTTTCACTTAAGATCAATGTGATCTGTATGTTGTGGATAAACATGTGATTAGTCAGTAACGTGTAGCTGTGGTATTGTCAGCAGTTTGATGGATTAAAGAACTAATGACTTTGATTAGACATTTTGGATTTTGCTTCAGATTATTGATAAGCATTAGAAATTAGATCTGTCAGTAGCTTGTACATGGATGAAAAAAACATTTAGCCAGAAGTTACGCGGCTAACTTTTTACATAGCATATTGGAATATATCAGCTGATTTTATGCTTATTGGATATCAAACTGCATATCCTGCAGCCTTATGTATCCAGTACTTTTCTGATTATTCATGCTGTATCAAACAGGCTTTCTGCAACACATAAACCCACTGGTAAATCTATTGCTTTCAACCAACGGGAAAAAAATCTCAAACACTGTTCCTAATATGCTAATTACAATAGATACAGTCTCTACCTTTTAGTACTTCTCTATTCTCTTGATCTCGTACTTTAACACTTTGTAGTTTGTAATTTCTTATCTTTCTGTCTCGACTACTATTGTATGAATCGAACAAGTAACGTCAGTAAGGTAATGATCTCAGTCTTCTTTGCTGAAAACAACTATATCCAGACTTAAACGCTCAACGACTTTATATATTTGAATCCTATTGTACAAAGTTATTATTGTTTTTGTTTTATGGTTTGCATTTGTTTAGCCTAAATTGTCCCCAAATCTCAAGCGGAGACTTCAAGAGACAAGTTTTTTTTCTATCCGATGAGGTGCCGTGAAATCAAGGAGAAAATAAATATGTAATTGTGGTCTCTGCAGGAACGGAAATCTAAGCTAGATGGAAGAAATAAACAAGAATATTATTTTTTGTAAATCACATATTTATATCAGAGTCTGTCTATATTTCTGAGATGAGGTATTATGTACAGTATTTACATTAGTCGGACTATTGTCCTCATCTTTGTCGCCATATTTGTCCCAGGGGTTATCAGATAAAATACAAAGGATCTGCAGTCCATATAACATCAGGACAACCTTCAAAAGTGTGACAACACTTCGCAGATATCTCTCACGAGTGAGACCCCCCCCCACAGAGGGGAACATGACTAAAGACTGTGTGTACGCTATCCCATGCAGCTGCGGAAAGGAATATAAAGGAGAGACAGGCCGCCCCCTTAAGGTAAGACTTCAAGAACACCAGAAAGCTGTAACACGAGGGGTGGTAGAAAAATCAGGCGTGGCTGACCACATATGGAGAGAGAAGGGAGATCACCGTCCCCTGTGGGATCATGTTGAGATCATAGACAGGGAACACCATTGGAAAATTCGTAAACTTAAGGAACCAGCACATATGATAGGCCACCAAAATCTCCTGAGCCGACCAAGCGTAGAAATAAATACAATATGGGAACCAGTAATAAGGAGTGCCAGAGAAAAGCAATGATAACAAAGTTGCTATATGAACTCTGGTAAAGACATGCAATGATAACAGCAAAAATTGCAATATGAGCACTGGTAAAAAATGTGCTGAAAACATTAGGTTTATAATACTCAGAAGTTCATACCCAGATGTCCTCCCAGTGGATAAAGGCGTTGGTTAGTTCCAGTGACAGACCCAAAGAAGGTGAGTTCAATACCTGATTAAGGTAGTGGAGAACTTTCAGAGGGAAAATTAGCAGGAGATAACTGATAACTGACATCCATCAAACATGGCACGTGGAACTAGAACAGTCTACCCCAGTGATCGAAATAAAGGGTTCAGTTCGAAATTCCAACCACCTGAAGAAGGCCGGAGCGTACAACGGCCGAAACGACAAATATGGCGACAGAGATGAGGACAATAGTCCGACTAATGTAAATACTGTACATATTTATATGTTAATATAATTCCCAAAGGCCTATTGTTGTCTTGAGATAGCACATTCTACTTATTTCTACCACGAGGTCCTTCGATTTATTTAATTTCTCAAAGGTTTTCAAAGATTTTTTCCTGTGGCTGCAACATCTATCAAAAGACATGTCTTCTCAACATGATTTTTTTTTCACAAATATGTCTGGTCGATTTGCCTGGATTTTTTTTATCATTGTGAACACTGAATTATTATTATTATTATTATTATTATTTAAGTATGCTTGTTTGTTTTACAAACTACCCCTAAGAGCTCTTGTGGGGTTCAGCGTACCCGGATTAAAGGAGAATTTAATACGGGATACCCTGCCCACAAAATACAACGCAAATTTCAAGAAGAAACAACACGATAAGGAACGTTTGTAGAAAATAGAACATTGTATATTTATTATCTTGTGAATAGGGTAAAAAAGATTAATGTTTTAGATCGTTTAAGCCAAAATGTGATTTTGACAAAAATGTCTGTGTTCGCTGTTTTTCAACAGAATAGCAGAGTAATGTCTGTTTCTTTTGTTTTCGTATATGTGTAAAGGAAAAAGAGGCGATCAATTTAAGTTGAAAAAGAGAGTGTGGATGAGAAATAAAAGATAAGAGGGAAATGTACTTAGGAGTCAGTTGTAAATTTGTTGTTGTTGTTGTTGTCCTTTCCTACTCCACTTTCGGCTCTTAGTGTCGGGTTGAGTCAGTGATGAAATTTACTGTCAATCTTCTGTGATCTTTGCGCCTTTCTCTGGCTGACTGGTGACTGACTTGAAAACTCTGTATTTATTGTTGACTTTTTTTTCACACTGGCTCGTTATCTTTCTTTTTTTTTTTGGTTTAGCAAATCGCCTCCTTTCATTGGTCAGAAAATTAATTTCACACCTTATTGTGAAATCTGTTTTTGGTCGTTTTGATCCGATTTTTCGGGTGTGCAAATCTACTTTGTGTTTTTTTAGTCATTTGTTGGAATATAGGATTTGTATCCTATACTCTCAAGGGATTGTTGATACAACTGGTTAGATATACAACTGATATTCCCAGCATCATTTTCTTAATTCTATGATGTCGTATGATTGGGTGTATGTTGGTTTAAACTTTCATTACAATGTATATGAATATACACAGATAAAATTTATTTACAATTCAAATATAGATTAAAATGAGAGTCTGAAAAACTAGAATTATGTCAAATGTGTAAAATTCTGTAAACTCGCAGAAGAACCTTCAGAATATGAAGAAAAAACCATTACAAAATGTGTAAGATTCTGTGAATATCTGAGAATGTGTATGCAAATTCCAGTAATATAGGCCCCCAATCTGTCCCATTGATAAAACTTTACCGAGGATGTAAGAAATACCCATGAGTACAATATTTTGCGTTTCTGCCAAACTCAGTTCACCTGGTAGTTGAGAAACATCATTTTTCGTATTTTGGGCTATGGTCGCTAATTGCGCCAATAACAGTCGGGGTTGTCTAAGTTTTGAGATACCCCCCATCTTTTAAATTTAAATTTCTAGAGCTTTGTATTTGTTTAGTTTGTTGAACAACTTGATTGAAAAAATATTATTACTATTTCTTTTCTTTTTTTTTTTTTTTAAAGATATTCGAGTAGAGAAAGCGTGAGTGATTTTACGTTTTTTCTTTCTGCTTTTTTGTTTTTAGCAATTCAAGACATCCGCTAGGGGGTTGTGTCAGGATGCTTACAGGAATCAGGTCCAATGGAAGTGAAAATGGTTAAACAAGATCTTCAGCTCTACAGACGTCGTTAGTTTCGACATGGAACCAACACTTCAACCATCAAATACTCCAAGATCAGAAATATTCACGTAGAATGTTTGTTGTTATTTTAAGAAAATGGAATCTTTCAAAAATTTCTGGGGAGATCTTTTTCAGATCAATAACCTGGACATTTTTTTTTGCATTCCAGGCACCAAAATATTGCTATGAAGATTTTGATACCTATATTTTGAAGCGTGGGATATAAATTATTGTAATTATTTAATATATTTTCAGTTTAAAAGGCTTTTTAACTTTTAATTTTGATGTGGTTACGATTGCGTGTTTTTGTTTATTGGTCTTTTCTCTCTCTTGTTCATTACAGGGTTGGGTATTGGCCTTGTGTACCTTCCTGCTATTGTGTGTGTGGGTTTTTACTTCGAGAAGCGTCGTGCCTTTGCAACAGGTTTGGCCGTCTGCGGTGCTGGGGTTGGGACGTTCATCTTTGCACCTCTGACGCAATTCCTCTTAGAGAAATACAACTGGAAAGGTGCGGTGCTTATTGAGAGCGGCTTGATGCTAAACTGCATTATCTGTGGCCTTTTTTTCCGCTCCTTGCCTGGCATGGAAGGAAGCCAAAAAGAAAACCCCAAAAAACCGGCGAAAAAGGATCTGGCTAATATTCAGCTGAACGGTCTAGTAAAGGACAACAGTACTCGGATCTCAACAGACATCGCAAATCTCGCTAAAAGTGATAGCGTCTTAGTAACGGGTCGGCACATGCCTACTCTACGACCTCACGTCAGAAAAGATCTTTTCACAAGTGGCACCGTATTCAACGTTCCTGTTTTTCAATCTCAAGCCTCGATTTATTCTATGAGCATGTTATCTCTTACTGAACAGGGTGTGGAAGGTAAAGTCGGGTGTTGGGAAGAGACTATTTTCATGTTTAAACAGACATTAGACCCTGCCTTGTTAACTAATGTTGCATTTATCAATTTCGCCTTGTCCAATTTTCTTTGCTCTATTGGATACATTGTGCCTTATATTTACATCCATGACCATGCAATTTGGATGGGATGCACGCCTTACGAGTCATCCATGCTCATCTCCGTGATTGGGATAATGAATACATTTGGCCGTATCTTCTTTGGTTACTTATCCGACAGTCCACGTGTCAACAGAATCATTCTTTACGGAATGTCATTGGTCATATGTGGGGTGGCCACTTGTTTCTACCCGTTTTGCTACAATTATCCATTGATGATATTATATGCCGTTATATTTGGCGTATTTACAGGTAAGTACTACCGACGATCTTTTGATTTCGCAAGCTATTATTGACTCTATTACTCACTGGATGCTTCATAAAAATTGTCTTGAGCACATATTTTAACAGGGGCCATTAGGTGTGCTTTCTTTCTTTCTTTCTTTCTTTCTGTTCGCCGTTTAAAAAGAAATGAGAGTAACTTTGACTCTCATCAATTGCAACATAGTGCTTAATATATGAAGCATTGAGAAGCAAATATTTTGAATATGAGCCACTGGAAGTTCTTCTTGAAGTTTTACGTTATAGTGGCGTGGAGCTTAAACATTTAAGTGTTATTTTCTTAAGCTTTTCCATTTTCGATTAGTAAACATAGTTTTTACTTAATAATAATATCATCTAAAAGACTTAAATTGATACAGAATTTTAGAAGATTTAAAACTTAATAATTTTTCTAATTAAAATTAAAAAAAATGAAAACAATTCTTGTAAAAATTCATTATCGAAATTAAAATTGAAAGCTTTTCTAATTAAATAATGTCATAGTTTAATTGCAATTTTTATTTTAGCAGATTTTCGGCAAATAGTGTTTCTGTTTGACAAAAACAAAATGATGATTTAAATTCTCCATGTAGTCCTGTTTTTAACTAATATAAATATGAAAAGGCTGAAATTTTAATTTCTCGAAATTTCATAAAATTAAGTGGGGGGAACCGTTGTAAAAAAATAAATTAATTCATTATTCATAAAAAAAATAATTTAATTCATTTGTAAATAAGTCCTGAAAATTTCATTAAAATCGAACTATTATTTGATTTTTGCAAGAGTTTTCAAAATAATGTATTTTTTAACGCCAAAAAAGACGGTAAAAATACCTATAAAAATCTGACGCAAGAAAAACAAGATTTTTAACCAAAATTTCGAACGTGCTAGAAAGTATCAAAAAATTTAATAAACATAAAATAATCAAAAAATACTTTGGTCTCTCCTTTTTAATAATAACATAAAGATTTTGACGATAAAATTTTGTTTTTTATCAAGTTTGGGGTCTTTTTTCATCATTGTATACTCTTTTCTAGAAAAGTTTTGGAGGTACCTATGGGAAAGGTATGTTTTATTCCAGGTATACCGCGCAAAACGGGGTTTGTAAACGGCGCGAAGGACCCGGGCATCCATATCGGGATGTCATCCAATCAAAAGCGAAACAAAAAAATTAGTTTTTGAAATTTGAAATTGTCTCTGTTAACTTCGTTGTACAAGCACCCTACAGTCCCACAAGTTCATGAGAATGTGGATCTGTGTATTTATAAGCGAGACCCAGAATTAGTCTCACCTCCTACTTGAATCTTACAGTCATACAATGAAGGAGTTGGCCCCGGGTATCACCAAAATTCTGCACGTCACTGATTCCAGAAAATTGTTTTTAGGATTAAGTTATTTGTTTTGATGGCATTCGGTCAAATAAAGAACAGTTATATTACAATAATATTTAGCAATAGTTATTGTTAAGGTATGAACAACTATGAACTTATTTTGTCAATCTCAGATTAGTTTATCACTCTTATCTAACACATGCGTTTCTGGTTTTCAGATTGGTCCTTTCAATAAAATAGGCAAAATAAGGTCAATAAATGAATAATTTAAGATATAGAATGAAAAGTAGCTTCTTTATCAAATAACAACTAAAAGAGAGAAAGAAAGTAAAAACTCTGGGCACTTTTCTCTCACACTCCATTCTAGCTTTGTGATATATATATATATATATACATATATATATATATATATTTGGTTGGATTGATGTGAGTTTGTGATTCTGGGTTTCACGAGAAATTTTCGCTACACTTCCGATCTTTGAATTTCAACATACAAATGCGTATGTATATAGACAACAGCACACATATACATACATATGTCAAATACCATACTGTCCAAATATGTTTATGTCTGTATGAGCCCCGGCGGACGAACGAGTGTGTATGTGTGTCTGCGTACCTCAACGGGTGTACGAACATGCATCTCTGTTTGCGTTAACATGAGTGACATCACGACGACGATTCCCCCCACTTCCATAATAACACCAATACACGCAATCTACATGAATCCAAAATTAAAAAAAATTAATCAGTTTGTCTGTCGATCGCAAAAGCGTGAAACCCAGGGTCACAATCTCACATCAATCCAACCAAATATGTTAGTTCTATCTCTGATATTGAGCGCTTTCTAATAAGTACCGCGCATATAATATATAAATAATAATATATATAATATATTACACACACAAACAAATATATATATATATATATATATATATATATATATATATATATATATATATATTTATACAGACACACGCATATATATATACAGCGGTTGGACAAAATAATTGTGACACTTGTTAAATTCAAAGAAAATTTATTTAATATGGAGTTGGTCCTCCTTTAGCCTCACAGACAGCTTTAATGCGTCTAGGAATGGAATCATACAGCTTCCTGACTTCATCCAGAGGAATTTTCAGTCATTCTTCGATTAAAACCTTCTCCGGCACTTTACGACACGACGGTAGAGGATAGCGGCTCCTAACTTGTTGCTCCAAAATGCACCACAAATGTTCAATAATATTGATATCTTGAGATTGGGGAGGCCACTCCATGTGTTCTAGCTCACTTTTATGCTCTTCATACCAAATCTTAACCATTCGAGCAGTATGTATTGGAGCATTATCAAAATGTTCAGGTAATATTTGCTGTTGATTCTACCATGCAGGGCAACTATTGGACTGAGACATTTCCATGATATGGCGGCCCAAACTATCACTGATCCACATCCATACTTCACTGTTGGAAGAAGGCAGTCAGGGTTGTAAGTGCCTCCACACATAAACTCGCCCTGAAATTGGGAAAAGAGAAAAACTGGACTTGTTTGAGAATATGACTTGCTTCCATTGCTCTGCAGACCAGGCATTGTGATTTCTGCACCACTTCAACCTCTTTTGAATGTTGCGAGTGGAGAGAAGAGGTTTCCTCACAGCGGCTCTTCCATGGCATCCAGCCTTATGGAGCTCACGGTGAACAGTTTTAGTAGAAATTGAACTATTCAGATGGTTATTCAACTCTGCAGTCACTTTGGCCGCATTTGTCCAATGATTTTTTGCCACATTGCGTTTCAATGCACATCAGTCCCTGTCAGTAATTTTGCAAGTCCGGCCCGAATTGCTACGGTCTTGCCCTGTTTCTCGATATGGTAGCTCTTGAAAAACCAAACAGTTCAACAACCTTAGTGATCGAGGCTCCTGCCATGCGGGCTCCAACAATTTGCTCTTTTTCGAACTCGGAGAAGTCACGCATTTAGCTTAAATTTTACCCCTTTAGAATTATAAATTCTAAAAATAAATAAGACAGACAGTAAATTAGATAAATAAACGTATTTACAATAGATATAATCTGCAATTACGAAGTTTTAGTTAAAGTTCTTAATATAATAGTCTTTAAAATATAGGAGTGGATTTTGCAACTGTTCCAATTATTTTGTCCAACCCTATATATATATATATATATATATATATATATATATATATATATATTACTTGTCAGCTGTCAATATACCACATAACACCTTTGAGCGCTTAACCTTGGAGCGAGTAGAATGGAGATCAACGTGCTTTAGTGGACTCAGCAGTTTTCAATCTGCTTGTTTGAACCATCTTCAAGAAGCGAGACCAAGATCTAAAAGGTCAGCTAATCTAACAATGATCTCATCTCACAATCCTAACTCTTTCTCCATATGTGGCCTCCTTTGTAAATCACTAGCGGGTCTTAAGTGCCACTTAAGATTACCGCACAAAATTTCATAACTGAATCAGTTAAGTTGTCAGATCCTCATACATCGAAACCGACGGGAGAGTCCATTATATATATATATATATATATATATATATATATATATATATATAGAAAATTTTTACTTTATATTTTAGCATATAGTGAATAACAACCCACTTCACACACAGACTTCCATCAACCACCCACGCAGAATATCAGACAAATTCCACTCTCTCTATCAGTTACTGACTATCCGACAACTTCTCAAACGAAACAACGAAGCCAAAACAATTATAAAATGGCACTAAACGACACTAGTTTTCCGGCAAAGCTTAAATTTGCACCTAGCAGAAAAAAAAATACAACACAAATGGAAACGTCGTGTGGTTTAAGCTACCATGTAAAAAATGTAAAAATAAATATAGATAAAAATTATTATTATTATTAAAATACAACTTTAAGTGCTGAATCTAGATGCGTCGTCAGTGTTGTTGCTCCCATGTCACTAGAAGTTTCGGGTCTAAATAAACAACAGACTTCTTCGATGGGCGACCCTACCGAATATGATCAGTATTTGGCCCGCACCTAGAACAAAAATTTGCCACTAGCTTTAGGACGTGCATTATATAAGTTGCCCCAGCAAACAACAACCAATCAAGACTTCACTTGGGCTATTCGAAGTTATAAATTAGGTATGCATGGTTGTAGTGATCTTCCTACTTGCGGCCAAGAATGGGTGTTTTTTGGAAGAATAGAAGAAAACAAACCAATACTCATAAATACATCTACATGTACATATATACATATATATACACACATACATATACATACATATACACACATACACAAATACATATATACACAAAACAAAAACAAAAAAAACCCAAAAAACAAACGATTTATTATATTGGCTCGTCTTGCGAGTTGTTCTTTCTCTACCTCCCCTTTTAACTAACTTATTTGTTTGGTCTTTCTTTTCTTTTTACTTTTTCTTTTCTTTTCTAAACTACACTTAATAAAAAGTTTACAATAGAGTGGTTAAAAAGACAGACTATTTACAACTTTAAAAACTAAGAGAAAAACATTTGACTAAAATCGCTTAAAAATAAATTAATCAAACTGTTTACATGTTAAGTATTGGTTAAAAAAATCCCAAAAAAAACACGTGTAAATTTTAAATAATTTAACCCCCCACCCCCCAAAAAATTATCCTTACCGGAAAGAATTCGTTTAAAAACCAAGAGAAATAACTAAAATTCCTCAAAATAAATGATCAAGATATTTACATGTCGAAAAATAGTTGGAAGAAAAAATAGCGTGTAAATTTAGCTAAAATAAGTTACTCCTAAAAAAAAAAAAAAAAAAAAAAATATCCATGAAGGAAACCGAAAAAATTAAAATTCCGTTTAAAAAAATTAAAAAAAAATAAAAGGGAAAAATTACTTGTAAGAATGTTTTTGTAATAAAATGAATCTACTCGAAAGACCAGTAAGAAGTCATTGCATACGGGACTGGATGCAAATCGAAAGATTGATTCTCGCAAGTTTCTCGTCATCTATACACACTAATTTCACATATACTAATCAGTCTTAAAAGTATTTAGTGATGGCATTTATGGCGTGCGTACATCTACATTGGGAACGTTCTTATTTTGTAGTTTTGGGCCACGCATTAGCTCTATTTATCCACAACCACCTAGTTGCCTTTTCGACAGACTCCAGGATCATTTGAATCGCCTGCCTTCTTTTTTGTCCCGTTATCCCTAGGCTAGTAAGAGTTCGTATCATTGACTGTCCAGCGAACCCCCTACAGCCGATCTCCACAGGGAAACAACGATTATGCCATCCTTTAGTCCTGCAATCATTTAAGAATCCTTCATATTTACTATATTTTCTCTCAAATGCCTCTTGCATATGCTCCTCCCATGGGACAGTTAATTCCAGCAAAATAATCTGTTTTGTGGCGTCCGAATAAACGATTATGTCTGGACGGAGTTTGGAGGACGATATATGTGTTGGGAATTTTAATTGTTTCCCGAGATCGACTCGCATTTGCCAATCCGACGCGGACGATAACAATGACTGGGATCCTGCAACCTTCTTACTCGGCTTTGCACCTGCTCTAACGATAAAATTAAATTCTCATCAAACTCATCGACAAACAATGCACGAAATATTCAGTAGAAATACACTAAAACTTAACTAAATGTTTAGCGAAAATATGATACAAACAAGAGAATCGCTAATGTACCACAAACACCCACAACCCTCACCTGTCAGTATAGAGCAAAATGCGAATGCCCACTAAACGTTAACAAAACTAATATACCAAGTTATTATAAGATCCAAAGGAGACCCAGAAAATATAACGTCTCTGGAAACAGTACTTTACGCAGATGTTTCCAGTGTTCAGATGAGAGTTCATAGTGCATTTGAATTATTTAGGTGATATAATCCCACTTCTTGCTTTCTACAAAAGTCATCATTTTATCTTACATCTGAAAGCTAACAACTTTCTCAGTTCCCGTCTCAGCTATTAATTATGTTCTTTGGTTGGTTGTTTGGTCCGATGGTAGCGAACAGATGGGAACATGGATATTACAGGTAAGCGTTTTGCATTTAAATGTTTTCCTTAAATCAATATGCAATTTCTCACTATATTCTACTTTTTTGCAGGTGTTTATATTTCTATAACTTCAGTAGTTCTTGTAGATCTGCTTGGATTGGAAAAACTTACCAATTCCTTTGGCCTTACTTTACTTTTCCAAGGTGTAGCAACACTACTTGGACCCCCTGCGGCAGGTAAGCAGACTTAAGGAGCCAACCAAATCATTCTTATTTACATTTTGCTTTTAATAAAAAGAAATTTAAATATCAAGCTCTAAAGAAAATGAAGGCATTTATTTACAATAATACAGGGTGTTTCAAAAGTCTGTCACATTACGACTCTGTATATCTTAATAACGATTGAGGATATCAAAACAATTATATTTCCGGAAAGCTAATATTTCCACGTTTCTATACAGATATTTACAGCTGTTCAATGTGTGCGCCGCGGGTTACACGGCACACACCCAAACGATAATCCAATTCTTGACAAACGCAACCAAGCATAGCATTGTCGATGATTGATAAGGCTTCAGTTATTTGTGTCTTCAGATCATCTAAGTCTCTAGGAAAGGGAAATATGTACACGAGGCCTTTCATATACCCCCAGACGAAGAAGTCAGATGGCGTATAGTCTGGAGACCTAGGTGATCATCGCAGTCACCACTAACTAACCTAATCTCAGTTGCAGTTGGTTAACCACTGGTGACATATAAACATTGGCGTAAATCAAAGATCAACTTGGCTGCAGTTGTTATTATCCGTTCAGTTTCCATTCTGAACTTTTGCTTTCTTGTCTGCATACCATTCTTCGTTTATTATATAGCTAGCCATGTCTTTTACGCATATCATATTGGGTTTTTCATTGATCTCTGCAAAAGACAAATATTCGCCATATTTTTTCTTCGATTTCTCTTTCGTCTACTTAACGCGCCAATTAGCAGAACTATGCGCAAACTCTTTCATTTTTCTATGGAGATCTTGTAAACTTCTGCAATATTCTTCAAGTATGGACAGGCTTCTCAAAATAAAATTCAGTATCGACAGCAATTCTGCGTCCCTTGTTCCCAGTTCTTGTGCCACTTTCAGATGTAAGAGTTTTCAAACGAAGAATTTTTCTCACCGTGGCATCTTAAGCTTGAACAAGATCGATGCAGCTAAGATGTTGGGTTTGTACTTTTCCAAACATTTGTTTACATTTTTCCTGCTGTGAAGTAGAGATGTTTTAAAAATTGTCTCTCGGTGTTCTGTCAGGAGCCACAGCAGAAGCAGTGATATTTCCATTCGAAGAAAGAGTCGGGTGCTCTTGTGCGCGTACCTCGAAACTTGTTCAATGTTCCTCGCGTTTGTTTCTTGCCTCAATGACATAATCTCGTCTGCATAGTCTTGTATGTTGACATAATCTCGTCTGCATAGTCTTGTATGTTGACATAATCTCGTCAGCAGATCTCAGGATATTTCCGTGGATTTCCTGAATCTTTTTGTTCAGAAAAGACATTCACTTTTTTTCTGATTTCTGATTGATTAGCTCTGGTGTAAACAAAGCATAAACGAGTTTAAAAGATTGTATTACCAGCTACTTCTAAAAGAAGAACAGAACACATTAGAAGTTGTTCATTACATGACAGAATGAAATGGAAGAGAATTAAAATCACTGTAAAAAATACTGATACAGCAATTTTTTATTTGTTTGTCTTAGAAAGTTCCTTACGGTTAGGCAAAATAAGAAAGGTATGAAAAGCATCAGAAACATCGATAGGATCTAGTTTAAGTAAGCTTAAGTAAAATTAATTTATTTGCGTGTAAGAAAAATCTAACATTTTCAGAAAATACTACCCCTTACTTTCACCTTTTGTAAAAAGTTTTGCCCATGAAATGAGTTCTTGATATTTTTTGGTAAATCTACATCAAATTTTCTTTTTTTTTTTTTAATAGCTTCGGTTATATCAGGGCTAAATTCACTGGATTAAATACTAATTTACGAATATGTTTGTTACATTTCAACATTACGCCCTATTCTAAGAATTTTGATATCATTTGTTTCTTAAAATCAAAAGTGTAATTATTATTTACTAGTCTAGAAACCGCCCATCAGGCGGACTTTAGGCATAGCTCTTGCAGAGGTCTTTTTGGACCTTCGGTCTTTTACCTTCAGCTATGTACGTAAAATTTATAAGAATTTAAGAATAATAAAATTATTTTATCCTTATTCCACACATTATCATTATTCGGCATAATCTTTCTTCGTAAACGCAACTGATCTCCGTAGTTTGTTTACATTAATTTTGCGCGCAATTTTTATTTTCTTTTAAAATCACTATTCTTTATGATCACATGACATAAAGTCACTCTTAAAAGACATTAGGGAATCCGAACTATGTAATATTTCGAATAGTACGCGTGACAGAAAAGGAAAACATATGAGAAATGTACAGTGCCACACTTTAGTTTTAATTACGGTTTAATAAGTCAAAAAGCGAAATTAAAGTTAAACCTTTAATAAAGAATTGTTTTTTAAAGATTTCACTCTATTCGATACTTAAATTTAACTTTTAAATGAGGTATTTATTTAATTTTTAATCGCATGTAACTACAGTAGTTACTATCTTCAGGTTGTTTATGATTCGCCGAGACCGAAAAACAGACGGACGGACACACGTACACTGCGCTTTATTATTATAAATTTATTGGATTCGAGTTTATCAAAAAGTTGAATTTTACGAGATAGTCACGTTAACCGAATCAAATATCTAGTTTATTTTTCGGGAGAAGAATGAAGTTTCATAACTTTATCATATCATCTATACAAATTAATATAAATAAATTGCTTGACGTAAATTATTATATTGTATATTGTTACATATTTATGATTTGTGCATTCTGTATAACTAATTCTACTTTTTTGTTTAACAGGTTGGCTGTTTGATGCCACACACATTTATGACTATTCATTTTACCTGGCTGGATTGTCGTTAGGGGTTGGTGGTTTGATGCAATTTTTTATTCCTCAGTTGAAAAGATATCATGAATCAAAGAACACACGGACTAAACCAACAAAACCAAATATGGACTATGGAGAATTACCAAAAATTATTGTCACTGTGGACGATAATGACGAAACTAATCGAAATGCAGAAAAATCAGTTTCATAAATTTCTTGAGAGAAAAAAAATCACGCATGAACATGGACATTCACAAACACACAAAGTATGACGGTGACCTTTTAGAACAAATACGTACCCACATGCATACATTCATGTGAGTGTGTGTGCGCGTGTGTGTGTGTGGACGCATGCATAAACGTACATATAGAAAGTAAAAAGTGTGTGCGTGAGTATGCGCAATTTTGTATGCATTTAGATAGAAGTATTGGGATCGTGAGAGAAACTATGACGTTGCAATGAGCTTCCTATCACTTGCAAAGCAAATCAATTTATTCCAGATTATTTTATAAACATTTAGGGCATTCTTGGATCAGCATGTTAATTTGTCTATGTCAAATTTTATGAGAAGGAAAATACTTCCAATTTTACTCAAAACACTGGAACTTATCCATTTTATAAAAAACCTATCATTATAAATAGCGTATTTCCTGGCGTATGACGCATTTTTTTTAAATTAAAATTTAATCCCTTAAAAAGGGCTCTGTGCGTTATACACTGACAATTTTTAGTAAAGCCGTATGTTTTTCTTTCTTATTGCTTACCAGCATCTATACGTACGAAAATAGAAAACTATTTTTGGGAAAATATATTTTTATATATTTGAATTGCTTATTTTTTATTTATTTATGATGAATGCAAACAGAATAGCAAAAATATGAGGAAAGAAAATAAATAAAAAAAACAGAAATGAAGCAATTTTTTATCATCCGGGTGAGATTGTCGTGGATGAAATGGTCTGCTGATGAAATATAAATGTACATAATATGAGGTAGACAGTTTAAGATCTTTTTTATTTTTTTTCTTCAACACGAAGTTACGCATCACGCATTGGACAGCACAAAAGGTTTGAAATTAAAGTAAAAAAAAAAAAGAAATATAAAGAAAATTACCTATGGATGAGAAATTTAAAAAATAAATCTCCAATCTGTTCAGATTTATTCAATAAAGAATTTCTGTCATTCATAACGGATAAGAACGTATTGGAAATATTACAAATCTAATCTGTTTATTTATCCAATTCTGATCTCCTTGTCGGCATTGTTCAGATAAAATGTATACTCACGGGTTGAATAGAGAGAAAGAGAGACAAGGGAAAGCAACGCGTTTCGTACCTGGCGGACTTAAGCAAGTGGATGACAGAACGTGGTTTGGGGGAGGAAGCAGATGGAAGGAACTTGTTGAGAGCTTCAAGGGATAGAGGAAGAGGTGGAGAGCCATGATCATCTACGTCCTGAAAGGACATGGCACATAAAAAGAAAGAAGACAATTTTTTCATTTGAAAAAGGTTTTTTTTTTTTTTACAGTAAGGTTCCTCCTGTACAAAGCCCGGCGGCCACTCAATGTAGAGGGTCACGTTAGGAGGCAATTTGTTCAAACAGGAGAAGATAACGCTTAACCCTAGCCTTGAACAGGTTAAGATTATAGTGATCGAGGACAACTATATAGGTTATTATTAGCGAAACTACTTTTGTTGATCTTCCGTGGTCACTTCAGTGACTGAAGTTCAGTCCTACTTGAATGCCTCTATGCAAAAACCGTCATTGAATAACGGAACAAAGATTTTTAATAAGCTGGTTCTCTGTGTCGCACCAAAAGATTTCTCTCTCTTGAATCCATTCTTCAAATATACAAATCGACCATTCGTCCTTTCCTTCGTCTGTTGCCATATATGGTCTGGTGCTCCCGCTGTTCATCTCGAGGTCCTAGACAAAATCCTGAGACGTGATAGTTCCTGATCTGGCATCTCGTCTACATGTGGCTTCCCTCTGTCTTTTTTACAAATATTTTGATGGCAACTGCTCTGACAAGCTACTTTCACTGGTACCCCAGCTGCATGAATTTAAGCGTACCACTAGGTTGGCATCTCGGTCCCACCCTTTCACTGACGAAACAGTTAAATGTAACCGCCTCTTCTACTCCAACAGATTATTCTCTCGCACTTTCCGACTGTGGAACTCCCTACTTGCTTCTCTGATAACTATAATTAAATGTAATGTAAATCGACATCTTCTGATGCCTTGATGTTGATCCCCCTCCTTCTCTATATCCTTTCCTCAAACACTCCTCTTTACTCTTGCTCTCACTCTCTGTAACCCCTTGCTTGGAGTGAGATGCTTAAACAAACAAAAACCTACATGTTGTAAAACTAAGCGACTATTATTCTAGCAACTAAACTATAACAAAAATAATGTTGGTTGCGTTTGATATATAAAAACAAAATAAATTTCATAATCTAACTTAAGAAATCTCATCTTAAATAGTGTATTTTCCTATGGATGTCGTCGAATATGTTAAGCATTTTTTATAACTTGGCTAACACCACATACAAAAGAGCAAGAATTAATTTCTTGAATATAAGTACCAAGAAATAGTGTAGCATTGAGAGTACTGCTGTAGCAAAGAATATTAAAAATAATAAATATAAAAAATATATTGAAAATAGTCTTTCATTCTCTTTACAACATTGTTTTTTTTCTCTCAAACTTCTCCGTGTAACTTGTACCTTTTGAAATTTACATCCGAATCGATTCTTGAACAAAATAAATATTTTATATATTTAAATGTTCATGTAATATTTTAAAAATGTTTTTAATTTTTTTTGCATTATCCTCTTGGAGCTTTCTGATAAAAACCCATAAGTATAATTATATAATGCATGAGGTTCGTCGCCATTGTAGGTAGGGTCACCTTTAAGTCAGTTAGACCACCAGTGAGAATTTGCACAATGATATTGATTCACATCCTTTTCAAGAGGTGATAGGAAATGATTTTCTGTGGGATGGCACCCAGCTCCCACAATGGTGACGGGTCATAGCATTTAAATAGAAAGAAAAAAAAGCGTATTTTGTTTCTGTCACTGACGTTCAAAATGTTCTCGGATATCATAAGATCATATATACATTGAAATATTATAAACGTCATTCATATTTTTCTTCGTGGTGCACCATCAAATTTTAAATACGCACAAAAGATATCACCCTCATATAATATAAAAAAATTACTGATCGACAACACAACTATCTTACAACAAGAAAATAATAAATTCAAGCTACAGATCCTAGAAGCAATTTATATTAAAATATTAAAGCCGGTACTGAACAGAATTAACTATGAATATTGCAGTATTGTTCTGAGCTGCCTATAAAAGAACATTTTTTCACGCTTTGCCCATGAAATTATAAGATAGAGAAAAAAAATTGTATTCTTTCTTTATTTGTTTAAGGCGTGATTCTAATTTTATCTTGTTTGTTTAGTATGCCTTTCTATCTTCATATAAATCTACGCTGAATTTTGTCTTTGCATATGCTCTAAAGATTACCATCGAAATATTAACAAATACTTGTGCACTTCTCTTGATTGCTAACTAAATACTACGGGGAAGTCATCGATGTTAGTTCATTTATATTTTGATAGAAATTCGTTTTTTTTTGTTTTTTTTTTTGTTTCTTATCATCAATATTTCGGCAGGTGTACTTTATAACCTTCTTCACCTGTATGTTACATGCGGTTACTTTCAGTGAGTGTTGAACTTGACGTCTATAAACCTACCATTACGATTTAGATCTTGCCAACTCATGACTTTCGATATGACATCGTAAAAAATTAACAGTTTTTATTAATATTTGTCTATTATTGCCAAACATTTAAAATGATATGCTGCCTATTTGTAAAGCCAACATGAGAATCAGATCAAATTTCTTGATCGCTTTATGAAGAATGTGTTTAGTTTTAGAGGAGTTTGCATGACCAGCTTGCTTAACTCTTAATTCACTCTCTTCAGATAAGCTTACCTTGGTCCAATGCATGGATCAAATGAATAAGGTACATGCTAATAATATTTTTTTAAATAGCGGGTTTAACATTGATGGGTGGGAGAGAAGTGTGATTGTATACATCACGGATAATGATATCAATCGTTTTATGGACGGGAACATTAGTAAATAAATTTTGTACATCCAAAGATGCGATTATCTGGTTGTTTGATTTTACAGCACGAAGAATTTGTATACATTCCTTTGTGGAGTTAATACGATATTTACTCGGGAGGTATGGAGTAATTAATTTGTTAAGGTTTTTTGAAAGGTAATATACTGGTGTAGGTATTTGTGAAATGATAGGTCGGAGGAGATGATCTTTTTTTAATCGATTTTTGCATTTCCATAAAGGTAGCCAGGTTGATAGTCACCCATAATCTTATGAAGTTTATAAGATCCTGTTTCAGCATTGTTAGCAGTAATAAGTTTATTGATGTGGTTTTTAAGTTGGGAAATGATGTTTTTGTTTAACTTTTTAAATTTCGTCCAAAATAGCTGTAATTTTGAGTGGAACTCTTGTTTGTTTAAAATAACGAAAGTATTAGTTTTATCAGCTCGTCGGATAACAATGCTGCTGTTATTTTTTAGTTGTGCGACTGCTTTTATTAAAGGTGTGTTTTATGATAATGTTGTTTAATAGATTCGTCTTTACGTAATCCTTTTAAACCTACCTGTGTAGTAATATACTTGTTTTGTTCCAATAGAAGTATTTGTTGGTATAAAACTTCAATTTGTGTTTGTTTAAAGATTAAATGAGGTTTCTGTTCGACATGAAAATTTGTGATAGGATTTTCTTTAGGTCTTAAACTTAAAACTTAATCCCCACTTGAAAAAAAAACAAACAAAAAAAACCCCCCAAAAACCCCCAAAAAAAAAAAAAAAAACCCAAAAAACAAATGATACCTTGTTCCAAAACCATATTCTATAAAGAATTATATAACATTAAGCAAACACTTGTTAATAATGGATTCCCTAATTCCGTCATTGATCAACAAATTAAAATGCATCTCAATAAACTTAATAATACCTCTAACAAAATTGATAATATTTATAATAGTGTACGTCAAAATAAACATAATACTATTAACTTATACTATTGCAACCAAATGCATAATAATTACAAACATGATGAAACAACACTTAAAAACCTAATAGGTAGAAATGTTAAACCCA